TAACATCGTACGAGACTCTAGCAGCCATACTTCACCCCAAGAACTTGTTCAAATTTGGCTTGATGAATTGTCTATTCGCCTCGACTAGATGCGCCAACTCCAGAGTAACCTTAACTGAAGAAAAGTCCGTGAGTCGTTTCATCACACGGACCTCGAGTCGTTTGAATCAACAACACGCTATCTGCCTTTGGCCTCTTCAGCTTTGCGACAATCTTTTCATTCCAGCCTCAACGCTTTCTCACGAAACGCAGAAAGTGCACCACTCAATGTCTCTTCTTCAACTCTGGCTTACTTGAACGGGATCACTTTTCTTTTCCCCTTTTTTTTTGGCTCTCGGTGAACGGCTCCAAACCCACCAGATCAGCTCTTCAACTTCAGTTGCCTTTTTTCCTTCTCTTTCGTACTCTTTCTCAGTTCATGGCTGTGGGAACACAGATCCAAGCCACAAACTTCACTGAAAAGTCACAATCTTTCGATTCCCCACCTAGCATGTAGAGGTTGTTGAGGCATGCTCCCAAAGTTCACACTTAGGAAGAGATGCCAGAGAGACCCAGCCCTCTCCGCGCCTCACCAGTAGCCAAAACAACACTGCCACAATCCTTCGTCTCCGAACACATCACATTCGCAATTAACACAAATTCACCCACAACTGACCGGACATCTTAAATTTTGTCGCAGGTGTGGTTTGATACACTCTTCTAATCAGCCATGTGGTGATCGAAGTAGCACGCTTCTTACCACACACACATTTCTCTTCATGAAGAGTCTTCATTTACCTTCTGATTGTCATGTTTCTTTTAAAATTTCTCCTCCAATGCCCTTCCACAATTTGTTATTGCCAAGAAGGGTGTTTCATTTTCACTGAAAGTACATATTGTTTGCTCCTCTAGGAAAGAACTATGAACCGAATCGTAAATCACATGTGACCAAAATCGATTGATAGATCTCCTGTATCCACTCACTCTCCTCGCATCTCATTTTGGTTTCTTTCTCTCTCATCAATAGCAGACATCTAGACCCTTGTCGAAAGAGAGCGATTTAGTACACTTCACTTTGCACATGCCCGAAAGGACCGGTGCCATCCGACTGTACATATCTCCACTGTAAATCTCTGCATTTTGATACAGCTATTTCTTACGAACCGTTTGAGCATGCCTGTAGCAGCTGTGATACATTTTCTTTCCCGTGTCTGTCCATCTTCTTCTCCTTAAAATAGTTTAAATAAGTATCAACTAAATTCAACTTTTCAAGAATGCGGGAACCAGACCAAGGGAAACCTGTCCTGCCTTTTACTGTCCAGGCCAGATCAGACTATGCTGAACCACAGTGACATACCCTTACACGTAACCTTTGGTCTTGAGATACCAATTGTTTGGTGAAAGAGTTGGACGGTCTCCTTTCTTCCTACCAAAAAACAATTTGTGAACTTCATTGTAACCTGAATACTGATTACCAGCTAGTAAATTTCCAGATTAAATGGAGGAGTCACAAATAGTTCTCAGTTAAATCTACTTGCCTAGACAGCAATTACTTTAGAAGTAATTAATTAGACTGAATACACAACCAAAAATAGTTTGCTCCAACAATAGCTATTTAAATACAATAAAGACAAAGCTCCAATAAATAGAGCGAGACCCAAATCTTGCAACGAGTTCGCACCGAAATCTTTTGCCTTACCGTCCGTCACGGACTACTACCAAATTTATGATTTTCACTATAAGAAATATTCCAAATTTTGAGAGAGGACGAGGAAGACTTCGCTCCTAAATCTCACATCGGTATTGGAGACAAGTTGGGACTCTTCTAAAATTGAACGGCAGACCGGCTCCTCGGATATTGCCCTGTCCCTCTGCCGCTAACTGAGTCATACAGATATGCCACTGCGGAGCCACATGCTACGTACGTATTCCAGCTTTCTGCGCCCCAGCATTGCGCAGAATATCACTCAGAGCGGTTACTGCGTATCACCGCGCCACCACTACCGACCCAACGTTTCAGACTCTATAGCGACTTCCCACGATCTACTGTTACGCGGAAATTTACACCGTCTCGTTCTTCAACGACTCATTGCATTACTTACGCATCCGCCACGGACGCCGGCGCAGAGTCCAACATAACACTGCCAATATCCCTTGCTCAATATATCTCCCAGAGGAGAGAAACTTGTCTAATCCACTAGGTATTGGAAGACAAGTTGGGACATTTTAAAATTGAAGGAGATAGGCTCCTTATATAGAGGAGAGGCCAACCTCTCCCTTGCCATTTTCCCGATGTGGGATTTGAGCCACTAAACCAACAGTACCATGACATCTTTTCTTCATTTGAGAAGCTACAATAATGCATAAATCATATAAATTAAAGAAACATAATAAATAAAAATTAATAGATCATAAGAATCGATTGAGAAAAAAATAAATAAAAATTATTAAATCTTGACAATTAGTTGGTTCAGTTGTTGCCAAGCCATCTATTGTATATGAAATATGACACTTGCTGTAAGTGTCATGTCATCAATGTTTATTGCCGGTGAGATGTCATTCAATGTTTTTGCTGATCTTAAAATTTTAATTGTCTTCTTACGACCAGGTGCCATGATTATTAGAAAAGATGAAAATAACCGTAAAACAAAAAAAAAAGTAAAGTTTTGAGAATTGGTGCAAAGGAGACAATTAGAGGTGATTAGGTTTAGAATTTCGTATGTGTAGAAGATATTTAAAATAGGAAATATATATTAGAGATAGGTGAGGGTTTTGTTTCTATCTTTTTAGGAGGAAATTAAAAAGTTTGCCTCCAAAATTTTTCTCTCTAGTTTCCTAAAAGTAAAAAAATTTTTTGCTAGTAATATTATTTCAAAGATATATCTAAGTAAAAAATGGTAAATATATAGATATGCTCTTAGTTTAATTTCTTAAAATTTTTAATCTTTATTTTTTATTCTTTGTTAATTGAAGTGCCTAGTAATGAGGAAATTATATAATATTATTAGTTTGAGGGAATTGGTGTTAAAAGCTAAGAGAAAAAATATTGTTTATTTATAGTACAAGAAGTAAAAATAATATTGATGAAGTCAATCCATAAGTAGGAAGTTGTATCCATGTATATATATATATGTATAAATCTTTACTCATTAATATTTAATATTTTTTCCTTTTTTGTGAATTAAATTGTATTACTAATTACTTCTTTCTTTCCTACATTGGCTCCATTCCAATTATGTGATTTTGAATTAAAAATCATAAAAATATATAGAGCTATTGCTGCTAATTTTGTGTAAAATCATGTACAGGGGATCCTTCGATTACTAATGTTGTGCAATGTATATATATTTATCATGAGTTTCATTAATTTTAGAGGGTTTAGATAGGGATGACCATTTGGTTTGATCAATTTGGTTAATTTGATTAATTAGGTTAATTCGGCTAATGCGGTTCGGTGATTGGTTAAAAGTTAATTTAAACAAATTAATCAAATTAATCGACTCCCAAAACTACGTCGTTTTGATTAAGTAGATAATAAAATTAAAAATATTTTATTTTTATTTTATTTTTTATTTTTATTTTTATTAACGAGTGATCAATCTCTTTGGTTAATTTTTATATCGGTTAAGTCGATTAATCATAAATTTCAGATAAATTCGGTTGGTTAATTAAGTTTTTATTTTTATTTTAATTTTCATTCAGTTAATGATTAAAATTAATTCGGCTAAAACTATTCAGTTAAAAAATTAGTTCGATTAAATTCGGTTAAGTAAAAAAGTCTCGGTTAATTTATTTCAGTAAAAAATATTACTGAAATTCACTGAATTGAATTTATAGATCCCATTATGTCAAGGAAAAGTAAGTTTATACTAATTACTAGTATAATACAATAACCTATCTAACATAATTATATATATTATGCTGCTTTCTACATAATCAGTCACTTCTTTAATTCACAGCTTTGAATTTATAGATTGAATTTTCTATGTAATTTAAATAATAACTACCTAGCAATGTAAAGAATATTGACTAGAAAATATGAATCTTGCCGTTAGTATTTTTTTTTTTTTTTTTTTGCCTAGCGAAGTGTTAAAGAATATTGGACTAGGACAAATATGGATCTTGCCGGTTAGTATTTTTGTTTTTTTTTGTTGAAAAGCAATCTTGCATATTAGGTTAATGACCAACGATTGCGATGAAATTTCATGTGCAGCTTAGTGTGCTTTTAAAAAATAAATTTTTTTTTTTTTTTTTTGAAAAGCAATCTTGCATATTAGTTAATACCACTGATTGCATGAAATTTCATGCACTTATTTTCTTTTAAAAAATAAAAAGTAAGTAGAAGTTATATATATTTCTTTTAAAAAATAATTATTTTAAATATTTTAAAATAATAATTAAATGAATAACGGGTAGTGGATATCTAAGTCCTTAAACCCGAATCCCATACTAGTAGTAAAAATACTATTGAACTCGTTCTAAACCCGTTTATTCACTATCTGAACCCGCTAAATCGGATTGGATATTCGTTAGGTAAGGTAGAATTGCCATCCGTATAAGGAATAAATATTAAACTTGGAACTTTGTTATCCATCAATCATGAAAATCATAAAAAAAAAAAAGAAAAGAAACGCAATGATTTAAAATTGCTGAATTAATTATTCATTAAAAAATTTGGGAATTAAATAAAATTAGAACACGATTTGATATGGAATTCACTCAAATTTATTTTTTTTTAAAATATTTAATCAATTAATTACTAAAATTAATTAAATTCATATATCTAGTAATATGTTACTCTTACACACAAATGGTCTGAGCTGATAATCATAAAGAAAAGTTATTATTTGATGCTGACTATGATATCTTTTCTTGTTTTTGGTTAAAAAAATATCTAGCAAATCATTAATATTTTTTAATGGCTTTTATCGGATGGGATGGGAATATGGGATTATAATATTGTCTTCTAAAGTTACTTTTCCAACTCATTAGTATATCGCATCCGGTTAAAAAAGAAAAAAAAAAAAAAGAAATAGAATTAAGGCTTAACAGTTGCTTTCAATACTATTTTGCAGTAGTTCGCGCGACCAAAAAAAAAGAACCCTCTTCCTAGCCTAAAGAAAACCCAGCAAATTTCTCTGATTTCATAAGAAAAACCTTCAAGTCTCCCTCTTGGAATAAGGTTTCTTCAATATCAGAAGTTTTGTTCAAAGATTTCAAATTTCTAAGGTTAGAACCCTAAATTTCTCTCTTTTAAATTCTTTGATATATATGTTATTTAATGATTAAAATCAGTTCTAATAGAATTCCTTGCATATGAAAACTCCTATAGTTGTCTTTCAACTTGTTTGGAACTTGAATTTATGACTTGTACTTGAGATTTTAGACTTGTACTTGAGATTTTACTCTTTCTATCACTAGAACCGAATTTTAGTGTAATTTGTGCAATTATAATAATAACTAGAGACTATTAGTATAATTTGTGCAATTATATTTATAATTTTTGTTATGATTAGTGTTTGGATGCTCAATGTGTTTCCATGTCTTGTACTCTTGAGTTGCTGCCAAATTTCCTAAAAGGGTCTGTAGTTTTCTCATAGTGCTCAAAGCAAGGGTGCTAGCTCTTCCTTTGAAGGACTTTAAACACACTTCTAGTTTATCTCTCAGTTCTAAGAAATTGATTGCAAGTTTAATTTTTAACCTCAGCAGATATTATGAACCATTTTTATGATTTTTCTATTCTCTTTAAGAGAACAAATTATTATAAATTTAATGTAACCATACAAAATTCTATGATTTATAAATGAATTTTTATATAATTTTTCAGTTTCCCTACCAGTTTCATTTTGTAAGGAAGTACTTGAGAGACTTTGCCATTTGTTGACCAACTAAGAAAAGTTTTTCTCTATTTTTATAGTCTGCTGTGAAAATTTTGCTCTGTTTTTATAGTTTCTGATACTCTTGACAAGGAAGAGCTGCAAAATAAAATTTTAGTAAATTTGAGTAACATACAATTTATAGGCACCATATCTTATTTCTTTACTATGTTTTATGAAGTTATCTAAATGGATAGAAGTTGGATGAAACTCAATCAAAGATTCAGCCCTGCATACATTCAAGGTGTACATAATTTCATGGAAGTTGACTCTGCTAATAGAATTCGATGTCCATTCAAAAAAATGTAATAATTATATCTTCAAAACTCTATTAGAAGTCAAAAGTGATTTATTTCGATATGGAATTTTTGAGGATTATACTTGTTGGATATACCATGGTGAATCTCTTCAATTGTCTGATGATAATCAACGTGTGTGTAAATTTAATGTGGAAAAAATATTTTTCTTCTTCTTGATTCATCAATAAGGACACATATATATACTCATACAAGATACTATAAACCTATTAGGAATCTAACTCCTAACAGAGTTCTATTTACAACTAATCCTTAACACTCCCCCTCAAGTTGGAGCATATTCGTATGTCCACTTCAACAGAAAAATGTCAATATAATCTTATCTTTCAAAACTCTTACATTAGAAGTCTCATAAGGTGCATGTTCATTTCGCATATGGTCAATTTTGTCTGAGCGATATGCTATACATTTGTATGGAACTATACCATGTGAATCTCTTCAATTGTTGATGGATACATCAACGTGCTCGCGTGCGCGCAAGCTCGCGACCTCTCGAACTGCCAAGGCCTATTCTACGCCTATACGTCCTCTTGTGTGTCTTAATAATTTATGTGGAAAAAATATTTTTCTTCTTGACTTCATCAAATTACTGGACACTGATATATCAGCTCCCAGTCACAACGATACTAGTAAACCTATAGGAATCAACTCCTAACAGGGAGTTCTATTTACAAACTAATCCTTAACAATCCCCCTCAAGTTGGGAGCCACATAAATATTAATCATGCCTAACTTGTTACAAAGATAGTTAACCGAAGTCTATTTAAGCTGTTTGTAAACATATCTACTCTAATTGTTCACTTGTTTTAAAACGGTCTTATGCCCTAGTATGAGATATACATCCTGTGTATCTTCTCACAAATGAAATGACCAATCAATTCTCCGATCATGTTCTTGTCTCCGTTCACTGGATACTGGATTTAATGCCCAACTGTCGAAGAGACGCCTTGATCTATACCACTCCACGTGTAACAGACACTTTGGCAGACAGGTATCCGAAGGATGACCTTGAAGCCAATTTCCCTATCTGTGTAGACAACTGACCTTTCCAATTAACTCTCACAAGCAGGATTGTGCCATGGCTCGAACGCCTATATTTGAATTCTCTGCAGCCCTTGATCGGGAAACGTCCTATCATTTTGTTTGCCTTGCTCCTCCATGATATTCAGTTTCCACCTACAAAGACACAATATCTCTGAACAGTTTGATCTTCTCATCAACCTTCGAACCTGCCCAATTCGCATCTGGAAAAACACTCAACTGTTCCAAATGGCCTGATGATTACTGTCAAAGTATGCCGACGAACCTGGATTACCTTTCAACGAGTAGCACAAAATCTAGTCCTAGAAGTTTTCCATGGATAACAAGTAGGAGAAGAACAAAAACTGGGTCTTAAGTCCGCTCACAGAGTACGCAATATGCTGGAGAGTCGCTGTAACTGTCTAAGATTAAGTTCATCTTATGCCCAATAACCTTAACTATACATCTCAAGAGCAGTCAAATAGACTACACCATCAATGAAAGTTTGCAATTAGGGAGTCATTGGAGCACTGCAATGGTTCGGCACCTAATTTCCAGTTTCCTTCAGTCAAGTCAAGGACATACTTCCTTTTGAGATAAGAAATGCCTCTCTTACACCTTAGGACACTTCAATGCCAAAAAACACCTGTTCAAACAATCCTAGTCTTTTGTCTGGAAAATTAGGTCTAGGAAATGACATTGAGTGATGTTAATGACGGCTGAATCACTCCCTGTAATAAACGAATGTTCACTCCCTGTAATAACAATGTCATCAACATAAATCACAAGTAGAATCAAACTAGTCTTAGTACTTCTGAAAAATACAGAATGATCAGAAGTACACTTATGCGTGCCAAATTGATGTACCACATTGCAAAATCTACCAAACCAAGCCCGAGGACCCTGTTTTAAGCTATAAAGAGATTTTCGAAGTTTACACACTTTACTCGACTCTCCCTGAGCAACAAAGCCTGGTGGTTGCTCCATGTAAACTTCCTCCTAAAGATCCCCATGAAGAAAGACATTCTTAATGTCCAGCTGATGTAAAGGGTAGTCAAAAGTAGCTGCTAAAGAAATAAATAAACGGACAGAAGACAATTTGGCAACAGGAGAAAAAGTATCAGAATAATCAAGGCCATAAATCTGAGAATAGCCTTTTGCAACTAATCAAGCCTTGAGACGAGCAACAGACCCCATTAGATACACTTTACCTTGAACGGTCGAAATCCACTTAAACCAATAAAATCCACTTACAACCAATAGCTTTCTTACCTGCTGGGAGAGGGACAAGATTCCAAGTACCATTAGTATCTAAGGCAGCCATCTCCTCTTTCATTGCTGCACACCAACCAGGATGGGACAAAGCTTGGACAACAGTTTTAAGGATAGAGACAAAGTCTAGGTTTCTTACAAAACAACGAGATGAAGAAGAAAGATGATCATAACTGACAAAAGAGGAAATAGGATAGGTACACTTGCGTTACCTTTTCGAAGAGCAATGGGAAGGTCAAGGTCCAACTGGGGAGTAGATGGCACATGCTCAGATTGAGTGGGATGAACCGAATCTTCTGTTGAAGCGGCAGGTGGAGGAAGTCAGTCAAGAGTTCCTGGTCTCTTGGAATAAACCTGTTCAAAACAAGGGCGAGCAGATGTTGGTGCAAGAGCGAGAATAGGAGCGGCAGATGCTGGAGGAGGAGCAGGAGCAGATGCAAGTTCAGGAATAGGACCAGGAGCAGGAGAGTTATGAAATTGCTGGATAGCATAGACTAAAAGCTCATCATCCTCCCCATCACTCTTATATACAGAAGAAGGAAAAAATAGAGTATTCTCAAAAAATGTGACATTTGTAGAAATAAGATAACGGACAAGATCGGGAGAGAAACAATGATACCCTATTTGATGCCGAGAATACCCAAGGAAAATACAACGAAGGACTTTGGATCTAATTTGGAAACCTGTGGACGAACATCACGAACAAAACAAGTACAACCAAAAATACGAGGTTCAATGGAGAATAGAAGCTTAGAAGGAAATAAGACCTTATAAGGAATTGCACCATTAAGCACAGAAGAAGGCATGCGATTAATCAAAAAACATGCAATAGAGACAGCATCAGCCCAAAAATGTTTGGGGACCTTCATTTGGAATAGAAGTGCCCTACCAACCTCAAGAAGATGTCGATTTTTTCTTTCTGCAACCCCATTTTGAGGAGTATCAACACAAGATGTTTGATGGAGAATACCATAGGAGTATCAACACAAGACTGTCAAGATGTTTGATGGAGAATACCATTCTGTAACATAAAAGAATGGAAGGAACTAAATAGGTATTCTTTAGCATTATCACTGTGCAATATGCGAATAGAGGTATTAAATTGAGTTTTAATTTCAGCACAAAAGAAACAGAAAATAGAGAATATCTTAGAACGAGTTTTCATTAAAAATAACCAAGTAACACGAGAATAATCATCCACAAAAGTTACAAAATACCGAAAGCTAGTTTTAAAAATAACAGGACATGGACCCCAAACATCAGAATAAACTAACTTAAAAGGGGATGAAACCCGTTTATTGATTCGATGAACTAAAGGTAAACGATGATGTTTGGCAAATTGATAAGATTCACATTCTAAAATTGACAAAGATTGAAACTGCGGACACAACTTGTTTAAAGTAGATAATGAAGGATGATCCAAACGACAATGAACCTCAAGAGGAGACACTGATCTCAAACGACAATGAACCTGCAGAGGAGATAGGAGCCGACCAGCACAAGCCAGGAGATAATGAGAATGCTGTTCATCGCGAGAAGATAAAGGCCAGCGCAGACATATACAACGTCCTTTTACCAATGAGTCACGCTTCGTTGTTAATAAAGATCCTGAAAGCTAACATAATATTGTAGGAAAAATTTGACGACAACAATGATAGTATACGAGTTAATTGTGCTAAGCAGGACGTAATAAACGAAAGTGAAGGCATAAACAAAAAAAAGCGAAGGCATGCGAAAGAGATGGATGGGGACGATTTGGCGGTGCAATACACGCTTGACCAGGGAAATGTGGAAGAACCCATCAGCTAGTAGTACAGCCAATACACTTGACAGGAGATGTGGACCCATCAGCTAGAGTAACATGACGATTAAAATGTTCAGGTTCTTTTAATGAGGATAAGAGACTAGGGTTATCTATCATGTGATCGGTGCAACGAGAATCAATGACCCACTCTGATGAGGTAGACATAAGACATGGAGGAGTACATGAATTGGCAGCAACAGCAATTGAGGAATTAGTCGACTTAGAAGAACGGTATCTAGAGAGCTCAACATGCTCCGTAGCAGAAATTATTACATTGTTGTCAAAAGAAGTAACTGCACAATCTTGAATTGCCATATTTGCCCTTTGGTGGCTTATTTATCAGTTTCTTGCAATACCGTTTAGTGTGACCAGGTTCACGACAATAATGGCAGATAAGAATGCTTGCCTCCCGAGTGTTTGGTCCATTATTACGGTTATTTCCTCCTCTTCCTCTGTTTCCTAGCTGCCTAGCTACTTGATTAGGACTCACAAGGGCACTATTATTAGAAGGGGAAAGTGTATGAGAACCTTCAGTACGTAGCAATCTAGCGAAAATCTCCTGAAGAGAGGTAACATCGCTGCCTAAAAGAACTTGTGATTTGGCAGTTTCAAAAACTGGATCAAGACCTGCAAGAAAACTCATCACAGCCATTTGTTCTCGCTGCGTCTGTTGAACCTTAACATCGGGACTAAAAGGTAATAAAACATTAAGTTCCTCGTAAATCTTCTTAAATTCCATGAAATAAGCTGTAAGGGGCTTATCTTGTTGGTCGGCCCGATAAAATCCTTTGCAGACCTCATACATATGAGACAAATTACCTTTTCCCGAGTACAAGAATTCAAGATACTCCATTAATTCTTTAACAAACTCACAATGATTTATTAACCCAACCACTTCACTTTCAATAGAATTGCGAATCAGTAGAAATAACTTAGCATCTTCCCTGAGCCAACGTTGCCTAGTGTCACCAGTTGGTG